CGTCAGCTGGAGAGGATAATACCGAGTCTAGGAGTCCGTTTATTAGCTGATGCGGCTGAGCCTCGTGTATTTTCTATTCCCGAGTGATATCAGCTTGCTTATGCCGAGCTCGCCGTTTTTTACTGGTCTCTTAATCCCATCCTCACTTATCACGAGCTGTGTCCCTTCACTCGGTTCCCAAAGCTCAAGATTCAAAACTTGATGCCATCTAGCACCGCGCTGACATCCGCGTCTGACATTCACGCAAATAGAACGAGACTTAACACCGTACCAGAAGCGTTTCCGTTCATTGCGTCACTGCGCTTCGCCAGCTCTGGCCCGCTGTTGCGCGGCGAGCAGTACCACCTGCTGCTGACCCAGGTCACCGACTGGAACGGCGCCGTGCGCGTGGGCGTGACCTGGCACGACCCGGCACGCTCACCTCGCTGCCGCGCTACTCTTCCCCGACCTGATCCGGCGACCCGGCTTTCTGGGTGCGCACCGTGCGAGCAAGCACCTCCGAGACGGCGCAGGTGAGAGCAGCACCTCCGAGACGACGCCAGGTGAGAGCCGCGCGGTGCAAGGGGAGGGTGGGTGAGACCGCGCGATGATGCAGGGGAGGTGGAGTGAGCTGTGCGGTGCAGGTGAGGTGAGTGAGAGCCGCGTATGAGGCCATGAGACAGGTTGAGAGAGCGTATGGGACATTGAGGCGGGATGTAGAGGAGCGCACGGGGCAGATGATGCGAGGAGAGCGCGTATAGGACAGACGAGTCCGGTGAGAGGAGCGTATGGGCAGATGATGACGAGTGGTGAGAGGAACGAATGGGACAGTTTTAGGCGGGTGAGAGGAGGGAAATGGGGCTGAAGGGTGAGGCGGGGTGTGAAAGCCGCACTGGGGCAAACGAAGAGGCTGAGAGGAGCGTATGGGGCACGTGAGGCGGGTAGAGGAGGAAACATGGGACAGGTTAGGCTAGATGAGAGGGTGGGTAGGTCAGGCGGGTGAGAGCCGCGACTGGTCGTCGAACATGGCGTAGTAGCCGGGTAACAGACAGAAAAAAATTAAACTCTCGTGATCTGTGACGTGCTGAGCAGACCGGCGCCACACAATCTATACGGAGGCCCATCTGAACCGTGCTGCCTTCACACGGCTGTGCGAGCGAGGCGACTTCTGCTCACCCCCGAACGCGCGTGTTTTCGGCAGGGTGCACTCTGCTGACGGAGGAGAGCGAGCTGCACGTGTGGTGAACCATCGCCAGGTGACGCGGCCTGGCTACCGGCGTGCCGGCCGACCGGCCGCTCTGGGCCCTCATCGACGTGATACGGCAACACGCAGGCCGTCCAGATCACGTGCGACGGTGAGGCGACCGTGGCGCGCTGTCAGCCGCTCCGGTGGCGACGACTTCGGTGCTTCGACGGCTGTGGCCACTCTGTGTCTGACACTCGCGGGGACTCATCGCAATGAATGGGCTGGCGGTGGAAAGATGTGGGCTGCAATTTCCGGCCGCAGGAAACATTTGCTGCTCCCTTTAACATAGGCGTGGGAGGCTGCTAATCTACACAGCCACCAGCGCCGACTAATGCGCCAGCGATGACGACACTGGCGGCGGCAAAGCTGGCGTGAGCGTTGGACCGGACCCCCGGCCGGAGCTGCCCGTGTCGTTGACACACCGCTCGACCTGCAGCACAGTGGCCGACATTGGGCGCAATCGTATGCGGTTTGCAAGGTGCAGCATCGAGCGGGCATGAATACATGCACCGTGCTGAATGCTGCCGTCAACGCTAAAAATGATTGTAGTTGTGCGGACAGCCACGGCTTCAGCACAATTAACGGCGAGCCACCATGGACTTGACTGGACGCTGTTGTCTGCATTGGCGATGGGTGACGCCCGTGGACCCCACAGAGGAGACGCCGCTGGAGATCCTGGCGCGCGGTCAGGCGGCGCGCGACCTGTACCGTCGTGTGAGGCGATCCGGAACGGTCTCCGTCTACCGCAGCCGACTGTTCCTGGTGGGCGGCTATAGGTCAGTGAAGCGGCTACAGATCAGTGGGGCGGCTACAGGTAAGTGGAGCGGCCACAAGTCAGTGGGGCGGCTACAGGTCAGTGGAGCGGCTACAGGTCAGTGGTGGCTACAGGAGTGGGCGGCTACAGGTCAGCGGAGCGGCTACAGGTCAGTGGAGCGGCTACAGATGAGTGGGGTGGCTACAGGTTAGTGGGGCGGCTACAGGTCAGTGGAGTGGGCTACAGGTCAGCGGAGCGGCTACAGTCAGTGGGGCGACGACAGGCCGGTAAATGGCTGCAGACCAGGCGAGACGCCGACAGGTCAGGGGTGGACTAAGGTCAGTCAGGCGGGTTACAAGCCAGGGGAGGCGGGACCCAGACCGGCCAAAGTCCTTCAGCGTCATTTGCCGTTACCCACGCCGTTCGTGACCGGCGCTCTCGTACAGCCAGCCGGGCTGGCAGCAACGACCTGAGTGATCACAGTCCTGAGCATTAGCGGACTTAAATGATTCAGACCGGTAGCGGGTAGGGTTCATTGGAGATGGCGGGACATGCAACCATTTTCGATGCCGATGACACACGCTTATCACCACGGCCACAATCATCCATCGAAAGCCATCAGAGAAATGGCGGTAAGCGGTGTGTCCGTTCGATTAAACATTTGCGATCTGATAGTTATACTTAACAGAGCACATGAAAGGGCAGTGTAAGACATCGCTGGGCGCCCGGTCCCAACGCCCGCCGGCAGCGCGGCCGGCGCTGATCTCGGTCAGCCAGTGATGTGGTGCGTGGCGTCCATCAGGGCGGGCAAGACGTCGCTGCGCCACCTGCTGCTCGGCACGGAAGCCGGGAGAGACCTCGCCTACAGCGGGCCTCAGTAGCTCGGAGCTCTTCACGTTCGCAGCGGACGACCCGGCCTGCTGGCGACCCGTCGATTGGCGTACGACTGACCAGCGGCCGCCGTTCGCGCGCGCAGAGAGGTGAGGTCCGCCTCCTGGCGCGGGGAGGCTGACGCAGTGGACGGCTGCCAGTGGTCCGACGCAGAAGGTTGGCGCGCGGAAGAGAGCCTGAACGTCATGTTTACTGGTGCGCATGTTTCTCATTGCTTGTTTAAACCAGACTCCGCAGTAAACGTCGTAGAGGTGGTGCTCCAAACTTGGCTGCGCCATTGTTGTCGACGGAGGCGGGTGAATATAGGACTAAAATAAGGATTTACCCATTGCACTTGATCCGCCAGAGCCGGAGGAGATCGAAGAGGAGTACCAGACTGCCATCGCTCGCAACGTGGTGCGCGAGCTGCTCAAGGACAGGAAGTCCCGCGAGATGGCCAAGCTGAAGAACCGCTCGTCGTCTCGCTCTTTTTCCAGCACATTCAGGGTCAACCTCAGCCGCAGCAGCCTCAACCGGGTGGTGCCAAAGAAGGAGTTGAGGTGATGCAAATTAGGCTGGATTTGAGCTATTCGCAAATTAGTCTCTAATGCTATCAAAAGCGTCACGAGCGCCCGAAGAATTCTGCGTTTTCCGCTACCATTGATTTAAGTCTGCTGTGCATGTTGTAAATCAGACTTTGTGCACGTTTTCAGGTAATGCTGCTGTCGGAGGGAGAACATGCATTTGCTTCTGCTGCAGGAAGTGATACGCATTGATTTTAAATGAAAACCGGACGCATGCGAGCTGTTACATGTGTATGTGCGTTGTGCCGCTGCATGTAAAGCGTTTGACCTGCGGCCGACATGTGCGCAGGTGACGGACGAGGGGGCGCTGAAGGAGCTGCCGGCCGACATCGTGCGCCTGGTGGAGGAGATGCTGACCGAGTCGCCAGACAACAGCCGAGAGCGGGAAGCTGCCGCCTCTCCCAGTCAGGCACAGCAGGTGTGCCCCGCCCCCTCTCCCCCCCGAACCCCACCTGCACCCGCCGCGAGCGGTCGGCCGCCGCCTCCCCAGTCAGGCGCAGCAGGTGTGCCCCGCCCCCTCCCCCCCCCCCCGAACCCCACCTGCACCCGCCGCGAGCGGTCGGCCGCCGCCTCCCCCAGTCAGGCGCAGCAGGTGTGGCCCCCCCCCCCGAACCCCACCTGCACCCGCCGCGAGCGGTCGGCCGCCGCCTCCCCCAGTCAGGCGCAGCAGGTCTGCCCCTCCCCTCCCCTACTCACTCGTGCTTGCCCCACCTCATGTCCCCGCTGTTGTTTGGTGCAAGTTGGTTGCATAACGGGCCGCACCCTATTGACATTTTGGTGATGATGTACGATTAAATACTGTAGGAGCTTATCCGTCTTGCATGCCCGGTTCTTCATATATCTGTTAATCTGTTAAGGTGTAGCTGCATCATGACAGGATGTAATCCCATTGGCCCGGTGAGGAGTGTCCGCCAGGTGGAGAGATTTAAGGCAGATCATGAGACACCAGATCCGCACCAGATAACATTCTACGCGGCTAATTCGTGACCTGATACGGATGTGGAGCTGCACCCACTATGCCCGCCCCACCCGCTCATCGTCTCGTCTGACCGGCTTGGCATAGTTGTGCCGGCCAGACCACTCAGCCTTTCCCTTTGATCAGCATCGCAGGTGTCTGTTTCGTGAGGCTTTGAGAGGCCTCACCAGGCCTGGCCGCCCTCCCCCTCCCTCTGACTTCCGCCGCAGGTGAAGCCGCTCTGACCTCGGTTCACCGTCGGCGTATGAACCTCATCTGTCCTGCACCCTCCCCTCCCCTTGACCCCCCGCCGCAGGTGACGCCGCTCTGACCTCGGGTCACCGTCGGCGTATGGCCCTCATCTGTCCTGCTCCTCCCCCTCCCCTTGACCCCCCGCCGCAGGTGACGCCACTCTGACCTCAGGTCACCGTCAGCGTGTGGGACTGGAGCGGCGACGCCGAGTTCGAGGCCGTGCAGCTGCCGCTGCTGGGCTGCCGCGGCGCCTACCTGCTGGTGTTCGACGCCGCCCAGCCGCTGGACGGGCCGGCCGTCACCACCCGCTGGCAGAGGGGCGAGGTCGGTCACCCACCAGCTCACGGCTCGCTCAGCGTCATGCTTCCGGGGCCATCTGGCGGCCAGCCGGAGCAGCGCCGAGCCGTCACCGATCCGGCGTGGCCAAAAAGCAACTCCGTTTGAGTGAAGCTACATAATCGAGGCAATTTGATTTGGTTCTAGAACACAGGGCTGCGTTGTGGGTGTTTGAAAATAACGTTTGATTAAGTAGGTTTTCCATATCAAACTAACCGTAATCCAATACGTCCCACGGCCTATCGTTTTTGTTGCTTTTGTTCAAGGCAGGACTGATTGGTTTCGAAAGCGCATACCCTGCATTTGCTGGACTTTGGGACTGGCGCGCTCTAGTTTCACACATTCTTTTGTCGTGCTTTGTCTTTGCTGCCGACCTTGTGGCACTAAGATATGAGGGCATTTTGGTAAATCTGGCCCTCCACAGAAGAAATTTAACTCCAAACTAAACCAATCCTACCCATCGTATATTGCGTGGACCACCGAATAGCCGGGAGGGACGGGACGCCGCACAACTGGCTGTGGTCGCGGCTGAGGGCTGGCTCTACCCTAGGCTCGGGACGTGTCGGTGGAAGGTCGCACCCGCCTGGACCAGCTGGTGGACTGGGTACAAGCTGATCCACGCCGCGGCCCACTGCCGGTTTGCCACGACGGCGCTTCGGCGATGGCGGCCAGGAGACGGTGGCGCCACCTGTGCTGCTCGTCGGCGTCTGGAGCGAGGGCGAGGACCAGGCGACTCCGACCGAGATCGAGGTGAGGTCCATGTCTAGGGGGTGGGCGGGGATCAGGCGGCCCCGACCGAGACCGAGGTAAAGTCCATTTCTGGGGGAGGGCGGGGACCAGGTGGCCCCGACCAAGACCGAGTTGAGATCCATGTCTGGAGGGGGGGGGGGACCAGACGACCCTGACCGAGACCGAGGTAAGGCCCACGTCTGGAGCAAGACGGACCAGTTTGACCCCGGACTGAGATGTACGTTTGAGTTGGGGGCACTGTTGCTACTTAATCCCCCACTGTCACATCCCGCTGAAGCCGCGCGCGTCCGTTCCAGCTGCAGCAAATGCGGCAGCGACTGCAGCACGTCTTCCAGGGGCAGCTGTGCGGCCGGCACGTGCACGGCGAAGTGTTCACGCTGCCGCTGTCCCGGGCGGCTAGTCAACTGGCGGCGCTGCGGGCCTGCGCCGCCCGGCTCATGCTGGCCCAGGCTCACATGGGCGAGAGGGTTCCCGTCCGCTGGCTCAGTCTGGAGGAGGAGGTGGCCCGCCGCGTCCGCGCCGGTCTCGTGGTCGCCACCCTGGACGAGGTGGGTGCGCCGGCGCCGGGCACTCGAGGGGGCTGAACGCGTTCGAGGCGCGCTCTTAAGGGTCAGACTTAGTAACCAAAGCTCACTCTTAAGCTACTGCAGGGTATACGGCGCGGGGTGGACACAATTCACGCCCCTTTTTGACGTGGTGAACGGGATGTTGTGATGCCCAAAGGCGTCAGTGTTGTTCTGAGCCGGTCAACCGCCGCTGCCTTGCGGCGAACATGCTGGCATCGGAAGTCCATGAAACGGTGTAAGTCATCGATACATAGTTAGGATGCGACCCGTCTCATCTCTCAAATTGATGCCGTAATGTGAGAGACACGGCAAAATGCACGAGCTCGAGGCCTTATGCACTGTCCTGTCATCTTAATAACCATCTGTGACTGTAGGTTATCACGTAGCATCAATTATAACGTTTCTTCGTACATCATTTGTGGGCACCTGGAGCTCGCCCCGCTACATGACGTCATGAGTGACGCAACCAGCGCTTCGGCCGTGACAGGTGGAAACGATGGCGGCCGAACATGAGGTGGCGGGCGAGGAGCTGACCACCTTCCTGCAGTTCCACCATGACCAGGGCAGTCTGCTGTACCACGGCGATGCCGAGCACCGGCTCGTGCTGCTCTCGCCGCAGTGGCTCGTTCAGCTGATCGCTGACGTCATCAGAGCAAAACGGAAATACTATCAGGTGAGGAGACAGGCTGGTTACGAGTCATGCTCACGCGGAGTCTCGTTGACCATCAATAAGCGTAGTGTCAGAGAAGCAGCCCCCCCCCCCCCCCCCCCCTATCGACGAATTCGTTTCCACCACAACATGGCAGACCATTGTTGACGAACACAAGCATGCAGAATGTGAATTGTTCTCTATGACCGTCGAATTCCGGTAAAGAGTTCACGCGATGCTTGCACTACGTGCGTGGGTGCGCACATCCCCGCTGCAGATAATGCATTAGCTTCGTAAAAGACCAGCATTGAGGACGCAATGCTATTGTGGCCGAACGGTTAAAGAAGGTGTGAGTTAAATGAATGTAGGCTTATCACTGTGTGCGCGTGCGCATGTAGTCATTTCACATTTGAGTAGCGCAGCCCAATATCACTGCACTCTAATCGAAACTAACTGGAAACTGGCCTGGACGCCTGGTGTCGTTCTGCGCTGTCGCGCGCTGACGGCGTGACGCCCGTGCAGTCGGCACCGAGCGGCTGGCGCCGTCTGGAGACGGAGGGCGTGGTGGAGGCGGGCCTGCTGACGCGCCAGTGGGACGACCTGACCAGCGACGCCGTTTCGCTGGGCGTGCTGCAGCGGCTGGGGCTGCTCTGTCAGCTGGCGCCGCCGCCCGGCCTCTACGGTGAGGCGCCGGCGCCGGACGGGCGTCGGTGGCATCACGTGCGCTCGCGTGATACCTGCGCCACTGTGCGCTCGTTATGCGTGCTTGAGTGCGTGTGCGCTCGTACACACTGCAGCAGATGCGCGGGGGTGTATCTGTGCGGGTGTATATGTGCGGGGGCGGAAGGTTGTCGAAACGCGTTTGTAGCTGGGTGTGTGTAAATTGTTCTACACCCGGCGCGGAGCCGACTCACTAGCTTACTTCGCCCCTGCTACGTAGGCGTAGGCGTATATCTTGGATGTGTGTGAATTGTTCTACACCCGGCGCGGAGCCGACTCACTAGCTTACTTCACCCCTGCTACGGCCGACTCACTAGCTTACTTCGCCTCCACTGCGTGGGCGCATGTTGAGTGTATAAGACTGCGAGGGAGCGTCCGCCCCCGCCACCTTCCAGCCTTCCGGGGGTCGCACTAGGTGATGACTCACGATGACTGGAGCTAGCCCAGCCGTCGGTCTTTGCTGGAAAACATTGGCGGAAGCTCAGGAATAGGCTGGATAATGACGCTCTAGAGGGCGGCCTGTTGTTGAGAAGGCATGACTAACGCCAACGCAAACCGCAGAAATATGTGTTCTCAGTTTGCGCCTCCAGGCGGAGTAGAATTTGCTGAAAGTTTGCTTGCTGATTCTTCACCATAGACAGCGTGCCTCTTTTTATTTCAGTTTCATGCCAGTCATACCGCTTCGTCCAACGAGATGTCCATACAACTGCGTCGCGCTTTGCATGATGCAGTGCTTGACAAGAACATTCACTAAACGCTCAGCTCTGAATCGTGATAGCCGCTGGTGTCATTGTCAGTTACTGGAGCTTTTGACCTGAATTTGGGTTTCACAGTGGCATTTGCCCCTCACTCGCGGCCAGTCACCTGGGTTCTCTGGTACTGCCCTGTCCACGCTCTGTCCTGTCATCAGACCTGGCCGACAGCGTAGCTCTGCCGAAGATGCTGCTGATGCCCTGTCTCATCACGAGTCGGGCAGACTCGACGGAGTCAACACGCGATTCGGCCGACGCCTTCACGTTCTATATAGACTTTTGCGGCTTCCTGCCCGGTAAGCGTGGCCTGAGCTGCCGACGGGTTTTCTTGCCGGACTAGTTCTGGATATTGTCTGCGTATTCTGCTGAAATGCGAAGGGCATTGTTCCTGTGACGGCTTTGCTGCGGGTTTCGAACTGACAGGAGGACCGTAATGGGTCTCCTAGTACGTTACTATTTTCACCTTTACCGATTTCTTAGGTACTAAGATTTAATCTTCTTGTGATTTCCGTCGGGAAGTGGTGTGCCACAACCTTACCGTAGTTTGACGGCGCCGAATGCGGTCCCAAAATGCGCACACTGCTTGACTAGGAAAAAAGTACTGAAGGTGAACAAATAGGATGGTGAAAGAATTTGACGCACTGTTTAGATAGGTGGGCGCGCGGCTTAAACAGGCACGAGCTTTCTGACATCGTTAACGGGCTGTGGACAGCTTAAACATCGGCTAGCTCTTTTGGAAGGCCGTTTCGACCGTGACCAGTGGCAGCGTAGTCGAACGGTGCTAGGTGCTGGAGAATGGCACCAGTCTCTTCGGAGACATTGCTTGGAATAAAAACGTTATGGTTGAGTTTGGTCACGTCCCTGGAAACGCTGATGCACATTTCTAAACAGACTCGTATGATAAACAAAGCAGCCGAATACAACTCACAAATGTACGTACAGCCGTGCACAACCACGTGTTTAATAAGCGCACATTTTCTCGGCAGCTTGATACCAAGGGCACGCTTGGTTAAATTTGCTCGAAGCCCTGGCACCCCTGGCCAGTCAAGTTCAATGAGCAAATTTTGCTGCCCGTAGTGTCGGATATGCGGCCAGCCTCCTGTCTCACAACGCCTGTAGTAACCACACTGAGATCGGGGAGCACGGACCAGGATATACACGACATGGGGCTAGTGTAGACACGGGTTAGGTGCCTGAGATGACGCGGTGCCGCATGATAACGTGTCGCACGCTACTTCTCCAGCCAGCGTGGTCAGCCAGCTGGTGGTGCGGCTGGCGGTCTGGACGCAGGAGAGCTCCCACCGGCCGCCTGCCGTCTCCCTGGACCGGGCCCAGTTCTTCGTGGACGCCTCCCACGAGCTAGCACTCCACGTGGCCGCCCTCCACCTGGCCAGGGTGCAGGTACTGCCCAGTGCGATGTGTCTGTGTCTCTATGTGAATACTGTGATGATGCTCGTCATACTGCTGCCGCTGTTTCCGATTATTAATGGCATCATTGTTGCCCATGATTATTTTTCCTTTTATGCTGTTCAGAGGCCTCCTCCCAGTGGTCTCATGGGCAAGATTTTCCGATCAGCCCCTGAATTTGGGCGGGAAAGGGCATGTAGAATATATATATATATATATATATATATATATATATATATATATATATATATTTGCGTGTGTTTGTGTGTGCGTGTGTGTGTGCTTGCGTGCGTGCGTGCGTGCGTGCGTGGGCACGTGCGTGCGTGCGTACGCATGTGTGTGTGTATGGGAAGGAAGACACCAGGAGGAAGCTGGTGAGAAGTTGTCTCACAGCTTAAATTCCGTGACATCACCCGGAGGCGGGCTAGTTTATGTCCAAGATGATGTTTTAGAGGCCAAAGGCAGATAATTTGACGGTATCACATCGCAAAAAAATTATTGCGTCTCAAAACACCTGACATCGGGCCCGACCCGATCCAAATCTGGGACATCTCCATGCCTTTCGCACACACATGAGGCTGTTAATTGGCTGGGCGCCACTGGCAAACGAAGGCGGGGCTTTGCTCCATCTCCACTTAGTTCCTTTTTCCTGAATGAGGAATTGACCAGGAACTCCCAGCGTGCAGAGACCTTATGTAAGCCAGTCCTTGTCTAAATTCTTACTCAATGACGCAAAAACATTATGCCAATAACGCTAAGACATTCCACTGTTAAGAATATCAATGAACCCTGTGATCTAACACATCTCGCCCTTCTTGTCCCGGTGCCGGCCCGTCCCGTTGTCTGTAATCCCGCTCGCATGTCTGTCCGCTCTGCATCTGCCCCATCACTTGTCTGTCTGGTGCCTGTCTGTCTCGCTACCTATCTGACCCTGTTCGCCACCGCCGCCTGACCCGACCTGGTCCGGTTTGGTGTCGTCCGACCTCCGCCGTCTGACCCGGCCCGGTCCGGTCTGGTGTCGTCCGACCGCCGCCGCCTGACCCTCTCCGGTCCGATCCGGTGTCGTCCGACCGCCGCCGACTGACCCGTTCCAGCTCTGGTCAGCCTGTCCCGCTGCCCATGTGACCCTGGTCGCCGTCGCCATCTGGTCGGTTCCGGTCCGATCCGGTGCAGTCCGACCTCCGCCGACTGATCCGCTCCGGCTCTGGTCAGCCTGTCCTGCTGCCCATGTGACCCTGGCCGCCTCCGCCGTCTGACCCACTCCGGTCCGTCCCGCCGTCCGTCGACGCCGTCCGACCGCCGACGACTGCGTGCTCGGGTTACCAGCGGCGGCCGCGCCGACAGGTGACGGTGGCGAGGCTGTGTGGCGCGCTTGAGGACGGCCTCGACTCGTACCCCGCCCTGCCCGAGGGCTCCGGCGCGCCCAGCGCCGACGTCTGCCTGCAGGTCAGCGCTGCGCGGTGACCTCCCGGTGACGCCATTCCGGCGATGACGTCACTGGTAGAGCGTCAGGGGTTCACTGAGTGACGTCACCGGCTCGGGGTTCGTCGGGGACGCTGGGCGAGACACCAGAGCGAACTGTCCTGTCGCAGATCATAAATAATCGCGTCATGATCAAGGTTGCTGGAAGGTCACATGGGTCCGGAAAATGACTGACCCAGGCCAGGTTGACGCCGGCCTTGGTCGGAGCTGGTGGGACCTTTACTGGACACGACGCCACTTAGAGCCCGGGATCGCCAATCCAGCACCGTTAGCTTGACATCGGCAATAATCGATATATCATGCATTCATCATGAGTACCAGATACCCTTCTATTTGCTGGCTTTAGTTCTCCGTTGTGTTCCGGGTACCGTGTTGTCCTTTGCATCACGTATGCCGGCGGATGGGTCGCAATGCTAATTATCCCAACGATACCAGACGGACACGTCATAAAATAGTGCAGTGCTAGCGCACCTTACGCTGGTGCGTCTAGCGGCGCCCGCTGTCCCAGGTGCGGCAGGGTGACCTGCTGCGGCACCTCCGCACCTCCGGCCAGACGGCCCCATGCCCCGGCGTGAAGTGAGCCGTTCCGCCCGCTGTGCCAGGTCCACCGACGCCTGGACGCCACGCTAGCAGACGTGCGGGCGCGGCTCTGCCGCCGGCTGCAGTGGCGCTTCACCGTCGGGTGTCCGTGCGGCCGGCCGTGCGCCGCCCACCGCGCCGCCGGCTGCCCCCAGCCCGGCTGCCTGCACACGCTGCCGCTGAACCAGTGCCTGTCGGGCGACACCGTCTACTGCGACTTCAGGAGGGTGTCCGTCGACCACCTGCGGCGGTTCTTCGAGCGCCGGGACCCGGACAGGCCGGCAGGTGGGGCAGCGTGACCGGCGCGGCCGCCATACCGGCACAAGATCGGTCCAGGTGCCGAACGGCAGGCTGACCGCGTGCACAAAGTTCCGGCGTCTCGGTGCTGTTTCGTGACTGGCGGTGTCACCGTGTCTGAGTCCCATCTAAGAAGGCAAGTCCGCGCTGAGGTCCGTTTCAGGCGCTATTATTCGCGTACTCATGTGTTCGATGCCGGGACCGAGCCGCAACGACGCCGTCCTCGGCGCCGCGCCAGTGCCCAGCCAAGCCTCACTGATGACCTTGCCTGCAGAGCTGAACCTGGCGCCGGTGCTGCCGGCCCGCTACTCGGTACGACACGAACCCATGAGCTCCGAAATGGCGCCCCCTTGGCTGAAACAGGCGGCCAAGCTGCTCAACGCCGGCGGTTCCGGCTCCGACTGGCAGGCCGTCGCCAAGAAGATAGGTGCGCTGCCAAACGGCAGGGCGGCGCGACGTTAGCTGATCACTTGCTCACTGTGAAACCCGCGTTCTGTTTACACCTTACTGTTTCCTGGCGGCGCGCGGTGCGCCAGTGTGTTGATATCATGTGATTGTAGAGGCCGATCTGATGACGTTTGTTACGTGTTATCGTCTTTATGCTCCTTGGTCTTTTATCACATGCTTTTATTTATGTTTATCGGGCATTGAAAAGACGTAGTAAGCTATTTCGCAAATATGGCGATGCAACGAACATTTTTCATTGCATTTGACATTGCCATCCTCAAGGTGGCGGGGCGAAAAGCACCAAGTCTAATTTGGGTATCGAAAATGAGGACGAGCATATCATGGGAAACAACTTGGGCACGGCCTTCTCTTGTCGCCCATCGTGGCAGTTGGTTAATCCTCCCGCCCCCTCCCCTCGCCGACAGGGTACCGGGACCACAAGCTGACCGAGTTCGACGACTGCCTGGACCCGGGCCTGGCGCTCATCACCGACTGGCTGCAGATCTCGGGCAACAACGGCTTCAGCCTGGACATGCTGTGCGCCGTGCTGGACGGGCTGGCGCGGGAGGACGTCTGCAGCGTGCTGCGCGCCGTTAACAGTGCGTACCGCACGGCTGCGGGCGGGGGCCGAGCGGGATGGCGGGACACGGAGGCTGTGTGGGATAGCGGGACACGGAAGCCGTGTGGGATGGCGGGACTCGGGGGCCGTGTGGGATGGTGGGACACGGAGGCAGTGTGGAATGGCGGGACACGGAGGCCGAGCGTGATGGCGGGACGCGGGGGCCGTGTGGGATGGCGGGACGCGGGGGTCGTGTGGGACGGGGGACACGCATGCCGCGTGAGATGGCGGGGCTTAGGCAGAGCGATGCCGTCCCGTCTGTCTATTTTCGCGAGTCCTTATAGCGTAGTTCCCTATAGCGTGGGTCGTGGGTCGTGGGTCTGCTTTCGCGTATCCGACAGCGTGGGTCCCAGGCTCCACATTCTCTCACAGGCTCTGAGCTCTCTCGTATTCGTTGCGCGGACAGAGTTCATGGTCCTCGGGATGTCTGCTTATACTACATTGCCTGTTCTGCATACCTCTATCAATACAGCCAGCTATGAAGTGATCCGCATATCCTGCCAGCCGCCACCGCCGAGTCTTCCTCGTTCAGCTGAGCACGTTTTGCCGCGCTCGTCCCTGGCCCACCGGACAAGGGCAGCGTCCCAGCAGGCGGCGGTTGGTGTCGGTGCCCCTTCCGACGCCGCAGAGCCTGTCAGGCCGGCACCGGCGGTCTGGCGAGCCGGCCGGACCCTCCCTGACGCCGCCGGCCACCGCAGAGCCCACCAGTCCGGCGCCAGTGTTCGTCAGCTATCAGTGGGACCACCAGGAGGAGGCGGCGCGGCTGCGCGGCCGCCTCGAGCGCAGCGGCCTCCGCTGCTGGATGGACGTCGGGCAGATGGGCGGCGGCGACCTCCTGTACGAGAAAATCTACCAAGGCATCAGCAGCGCCAAGGTGCGCCGGTGAACAGGCCCTGGGGCTTGACTGGCGGGAGGCTGGTCACGTCCCCGGCGGTTTAACGGCCGTGGCATTGCTCTGTGGTCAGTTAGGCCCCGGCGTGGCTGGCGGCAGGCGTAGGGACCTGTCGTTGCTGGGTCGGGCGGTGCGCAGGAGGTTCGGAATAGGCACATAAGCCAGCAGTGTGTCAAATATCTGCTGTGTCGGCAGGTATTTGTGGCGTGCCTGCGTCAGTAGTATCTGAAATCCCAACTGTGTCGGCAGATATTTGTGGCGTGCCTGAGTCAGTAGTACCTGAAATCCCAGCTGTGTCGGCAGATATTCGTGGCGTGCCTGAGTCAGCAGTACCTGAAGTCCCAGCTGTGCCTGCGTGAGGCGCATCTGGCTGACCTGCTGCAGCTGCGGATAGTCCCCGTGCTGCTGGAGCGCATAGCCTGGCCACCGGCCGGCTCGCTGGCGCTCGTGTTCTCCCAGCTCGTCTACGTCGACTTCGCTGGTGAGCAGATAATTTCCAGGCAGAGGAAAACACCAAAAGTCGCGCCAGAGTGAGGAAATGCCACCGTGACGTTCGGTTTGTCGTCTTTTGGACTGTTGATCAGATTCTGAAGGTGAAGAGACCTTCTTCCCGGGTTGCCGCCATGGGTGGGGAGTGGGGGATGGGTGTGGGGGTGGGGGTGGGGGTGGGGGATGGGGGCATAACTCCCTTGCATAACAATGAACACGTTTGACACGTTAGACGTCAAAGCTTTGCCTTTGGTGATTGACCTGATTCAGTGTTCCACGCCATCTACCCATCAAACCGTCAGTGTGACTCCGCGTGCGCTCCGTCAGGTGTCCGTTGTCGCTCCGTCACGGGTAATACCACGGGATGGGAGGGCGGGGCATTGGTTGGCGTTTGGGCTGGGGAGCCAGGGAAAGTTAAGCCAGAACGCCTCACGACCGGCAAAGAAGGGTCCATGTGGGAGGTGAGGCTCACTGGCGGAGGTCTCCCACGATGGCCGCAGTATTTCTCCACTACGTACCTCTCTTTATCGTACTGGCCTCAAACGGCCGCTGTCCATCGAAAGCTGTAATCCAGACCAAACCAAGCCCCGTAGATCCCGATTTTCCCGACAGTAGCTGTGACGTGACTACGCCGGTGGTGCCGCTCCCCCTCCCTCCCGACACCCACGCTGCAGGTGTCGGGTGCCACGGCGGCCGGGGCAAGAGTGTGGACTGGACGCGACGCGCCGACGAACTGGTGCGCCAGGTCAGCCACCTGCTGCCGCCCGAGGACCGGCCCTCGACGGTCCTCATCGAGGAGAAGATGCAGCTCGAGGTGAGTGGTGGTGGTGAGGGTTACGGTGTGGTTCGGGCGCATCGGTCGCATGACGGTGCAGCGCTTTCAAGGCGAGAGAGACACCCCGGGCTGGCTGGACTGGATGCGCGGCGATCAAGGGACGGAGACCTGGCGCACGCGCACAGGCGGCGGCACAACCAGCGCAGTCTTCGCAAAAATGTGGCGCATGGAAACCGAACTTGCCTGGGCGACGTTGCGGCATTGGTGAAGCTGTGGCCGCGATGGAGATGGATGGAAATGGAAATGGATGTGGATGATGGGATGGAGATATTCGTAGCGAGATAATATGCGGGAACTGGTCGATCAAAAGTGTATGCGGGATCCTTACGCCTCCTTCTAGACTAGTGATGGAGTCTGGTTCTGTAGTCCCGCTCGGCGGTCGGCCGGGGACGGCCTCTGAGCCTGGCAGTGGAGCGTCGGTGTTCTGACGCCGTGCTCGACTCACAGCAGGTGCCTGACACGGGGACGGGCGCCTCGCCGCACGTGTCGCCGCCCGAGTCGCCGTCGCCGCCGTCACCGCCAGTCACGCCGCCGCCCTGGCGGCCGGCTGCGCCCTCCGTGCTCTCGGTCGAGCGGCCGCCGCCCAGCCTGAGCCAGCGCATCAGGCAGGCGGCCATGCGCTGCCTCGCCTGTCGGCTGTAGCGGACCCGCGGCGACAGACGGTGTGCGTTGGCCGATCTCACACTCCGGACCCACCCACGTGACCTGTCGTTGACCGCTGAGCGGCAGCCACCACGGCCGCAGCGGCGACGGTCGAGACGCTGCACGACTTCCAGCATCGGCACTTCGGCTCCCGAGCATGGTCTGAGGGCGCGACAGGAGTCTCGCCGCGGTCATCTGCCACCTGCCGTCTTTCTAGACTCTGCCAGCGGCGTTCCCAGTGTCGGACTACGGAGCGCCGTCTCCCTGCATGACGGGTGTCTTCTGCAGGGGTCGCTGGAGTGACATGGCCACGTGCTCGCTGTACAGCAGGAGCCCCAGGTAGCTGTTCGCTAACACGACTGGGGCGGCTCAGAGACCGGACTGAAGGTGGCAGCTGCCCTAGGTTTCTGATACCACATGTGACAAGCTGATGGTCCAACAGCCCTACCTTTCTCTCGTAAAAACGAAGAGTGGTGGGTGCGGAGGTAGTGAGGTGAGGTGGGTAGTCTTGAGGATTGCCATCTGCGGTCACTGCTCTTTACCCAGTGTGAGTGAACAACAATCAACTCAGTGCCTCGTAACGAACTGCGATTGGTCGCCGACATTTGAGATATTACGTCACGCGCGGCGTCCCATCTGATTTTCGCCGTCCCCACGTGATAACGCATCGCATGGATAGTCACCGTAGCGTTTTAAACGTGGCGTCCAACTTCTCATGTACTCCAGGATCGGACGGAAAGTTGATGGCTTGTAAACTGAAAATGTTGCCTGTTGTGTAGGTGTCAACTGTGGGTCCCTTGCCGCATGCGATATTTTAGTGCAATATGTTGCGTAAGGCAATCTGCGATGACATTCGGCAGCGATGTCATCGTGGCAGTTTGTGTTGTCTGTTGTTCCTGCCATTTGAAGCCCATCTAAGCATTGTATGTTGGAACATCATATCAAAACATGCGATCGTGATAAAGTAACATCGTTTACAAGCACTATAAGTATATTATGAGTCTGTGGCATTGATGAAGTGGATGACGATCACAACTTTAAAAACCGTTTGCCTTTGAAATACAAATGTCATGCTCATTTTTATCTAGTCTTTACCTTCAACGCTGGCCTATGGATGATCGAACATCGCATTAGCGGAAGACCAGTCAGAACGAATCACGAGAACAGGAATGTTGCAGTTTTGTTTTTAGAATGTCGCCAGCTGATCGGATCAATATTTACTTTCATCCAAAGTACGCGTGGTTATTTTTCGTTTGACCACTCAGTATCTACATTAATGTGCCGCTCTTTCTCAATCCTTAAAACTACAATGTGGAAACATCCTCGCACTGCGGTTCGATCACTGAATGCGTGACCTCGTGGAAAGGCATGTGACTTGCATGGCATGTTATAATCTACCATCATTCGTATCTGGATTACAAGACATGAGCGCGTGTTCATTAAATTGTGATGTCTCTTTAAAGTAAGCACGCATTTGGTTCGATGCACCACTGCTTAAAAAGCGAACGGTGCATCAGACAGGTACATCACCGTGTGCTACCCCGCATTATTAGCCACTTGACCGATGCAGAAGAAATCCCCCAATGGCATCCCCAAGGCGCGCTCTGGCTAAGCGGATGGCTGCACCGGCCGCGGCGCCGCCACCCCGTCTCGCCGACCTGGACCAGAACGACAAGGAGAAGATCGCTCTGATCGTCCATCAGTTCACAGAGGCGTGCCACCAGCGTGACGAGCTCAATGACGTAGTCAAGGAGCAAGAGAGCCAGGTGCACCACCTGATACGAGAGCGTTGGTCTTTCACGCAGGAGAACAGCCGACTGGCGCGGGAGATGGAACACCTCCGCCAGCGGCTAGCGCAGGCCGAGGACGCCAACTGCGAACAGGCCAACGAGACGCGCACCAAGATGAAGAAAGTGTGCGATGCTAACAAGCAGCTGTCCGCCATCTGCGCGGAACAGAAGGAGCGATTGGCCAGGCAGCATCGAAAGGCGGCAGACATGGAGCTGAAGTATGGCACCATGGTCAGCGCCATGCGGTGTCTGGAGCTGAAGCTGGAGAACAGCAAGAAGTCGATCAAAAAGCTCCGACACCACCTGGACAACGCCCGGAGCACGCGCACCTTTCCGCCGCAGTCGGTCGACTGTGAGACGCAGACGGAGCGTGAGGGGCCTCCGACGCGCTGCTGCAGCTTCGATGCGGCGCCGGCCACGGGCGTCACCTCGTCCGGGCCGCTCTCCCGCCCTGTCACCCGGCACACCTCGGACGTCTCGTCGGGCCCGCTGAGTCAGTCAGCGGCGCCGCCGGCCGCGGCGCCCCCGCCCGGTGGCGAGCCGGCCGCGCCGCTGCCCGCTCCGGCCCAGCCGGCACCGCAGGTCAGTGGCCGGGCCCACCCCCGAGAGTGGTGGAAACAGCGGAGCACGCTGCGCCGCCGCCCGCTCCGGCCCAGCCGGCACCGCAGGTCAGTGGCCGGGCCCACCCCCAAGAGTGGCGGGAGCAGCGGAGCACGCTGTGCCGCTGCCCGCTCCGTCCATCCGGCATCACAGGCCAGTGTCCCAGGCACCCCTGAAAGCGTCGAGGACGGCGCAGTCCACAGCCCCCTGCACACAACACTGCGGCCCCGGCAACTCAGATGGCATACGACGGCTCAGGTAGTACACAGCACACTACAGCGGAACCAGCAACACGGAGGCAGTGAAAGTCACAGACGGGGACACAGCGCGCATCTGAGCTAGACCATTGACTGCATACTGGGACAATTCTATGGAGAAGCATGAGACGGGTGCCCTCATGCAGCATTCAGTGTAGTTGGTGGCCGTTGATTGTCGGACTGTCCCGGCGTGTCCAAACGGCGTTCTCCCTACTGTCCCCATCTCTGGTCAGGAGTACGCGCGGAGGCTGTACACACGTCACCCTACCTAATCTCTCTCCCCCCCCCCCCCAAGTTACACTCATCATCTCCATGTCGTTCGTTGTATCATCTCTCCCATGGAAATAGGTATGTGTCGTTGTGGAGATGAGTGCTGAGTAACAAAGAAGGCCGGGCGCTTCAAATCACGAATATCGGTGGACAGCACCGAGCTAAACTGAGCTGGTGCGGTCGGGGCAAGACAGTTAGGCGAACAGAATCCTTCGACGCGCCGCATGACCCGTCACCCGTTGTGGACGCCTTCCCTCTGTATCAGACCACGGGGACATCAGGAACCAAGTGTCATGCTTCCAACCCCAGCGCCCCGTTCGCCAGCCGATGGTACGGCGGGGGCTGCTATCACCCGCAGGCCGTGTGGGGTGCCGCAGCGAGCGTGTGCTCAGTCCAGCGTGTACCCGTCTGTCCGAGCCTGGCGGCGCGCTCGGGTCGCCCGCCGGAGCGTGTCGCCGCCCCGCCGGCCGCTGCCCTGACCGCGGGGTCCGCGTCCCCGCCAGGCGACGCCCCAGACGTCGACGGCCAGCCGCTGGACTCTGACCGAGCGGCAGCCCTGCCGCGCCGCCGGCGCCGGGGGAGTGCTGGAGTGGGCGGCCGCCGCCGCCGACACCTGCCCCTGCTGGCACCAGGCGTCCGCAACCGGCCAGC